GTGATTGCAAAACTGAGTTTTCAGCTGCCATTACTCCAGTCTTCAGTGTTAATAGCTGATGGTACCTGTCGCATGGTGCATTGAAGAAGTGCCCTCATTAATTTTACCACACTCTGAAAGAAGAAAAACAGAGATCAGTGCACACAGACTGCCTCCAAAAACAACACTTGGAACAGGCTCAACTGTGACCTTTCGGCTCATCGTTTAATAGCACAGGCAAGAGTAACATGACACTTCTGAGCCCACTGTAAAGAGACAGCTTAGGTACACTGATACATACACACATGGGGCATGAAAAGACAACTGACCTTTCTTAAAAAAAAAAACACACGCACATAATGTAAAATAGCCACTGGTGAATATTTTGGTGTGGCGTCTAATTTAAGATCATTCGAATGAAGATTATTCAACGGTTGCTACAGTTTGCTCAAGTGATCACAGATTTTCATCCAGTCGAACATATTGAGTTTGTTGGTTTTGTTGACTATTCTGGGATCTCTAGCATATATGTCCTCATGAACAAATGTTGTTACTGAACAAATATCTTAAAAATTGTAATGGATTAATAAAACAAAAAAAAATCTAAACAAACATGTCCCGTCCCAGGTTGTACCTGCTCAAGCTCGTAGGCTTTAGCCTTGTCTTCATCGCGGTCTGCATTCTTCCTGTAAGCCAAACTAAGAGCCCAGACAGACAGGATGCTGTAGACATTGTCCCTCACCCAGGCATCAGGCTGCTCTTTGCTTGCTGGTAACAGACCTGTCACTGGGTCCTGCAAGTTACCAATACAGCTAGTTAAAATGATTTAATAGCTACATGATAAATCTGCTCTGCCATTGCCCTTGCACACTATCTAACTAATCAATAAGCAAGAATTACCTTTACCACATACAGTATAACACAAATACATAGTATATGGTAAACTATATATTATGTAGACTACTGTTCAATGTTTGGGATCAGTAAGAAAGATATTAAGTAAATTAATACATGTATTCAGAAATGATGCATTAAATCAAATTGACAGTAAAGGCATATTTAAAGTTACAAAAAATTATATTTCAAATAAATGCTGTTCTTTCAATCTTTCTATTAATCAAAGAATCCTAAAAAAAATGTATCACAGTTTACACAATAATATTAAGCAGCACAACTGTTTTCAACAATGATAATAGTAAGAAAGGTTTCTTGAGCAGCAAATCAGAATATTACTGTATAATGATTTCTGAAGCAACATGCGACACTGAAGACTGGAGTAATGATGCTGAAAATTCAGCTCTGCCATCACAGGAATAAATTACATTATAGAATATATTAAAATATAAAAAAGTTATTGTATATAGCAATAATATTTCACATTATCACTATTTTTACTTTATTATTATCAAATAAATAATGAGCCTAAAATACTTTTTTAAAAACAATAACAATCTTACTGACCCCAAATTTAACATAGCACACCTGCGTCAGAAGTTTTTGCCCTGGAATTTATTTTCATGGGTATTTTTTTTTCTTTATCTTTATGAAGGCCAGTGTATATTTGTAACCATATAAAATCACATAACGTGTTTTATTTATGTCAAATACTCAATCTGAATTTTGAATTAAATGGTAAATAAGTACACTAGCACAGATAAATAAATGAGTAATTAACAGAATTACAGGATTGAGTAGCTAATTGGTCGATTTTGTCACTTTTCAGTGCCAATTTTTGCACCAAACCCTAGTCAAACTCGGCCCTGAAATACCCTACACATGATGTAGATTTTATTATACATTTTATACAAGTGTTTGGTTGTTTGATTAACAAAACACAAAGAAAACTGCGATATTTTTATATAATGTAGGGTACATGAATACAGATCCAATAACTAAAGCACATCAAAAATGTGATACTACTTATAAGAACTTCGTTGAATGAAGGCATGTTTAGTGAAAACAAGCTTTTTAGTGAAGCGTCAGTGTAGAAATGAAACACTCACTTGATGACGCAGAATAGTCTGATGAACTATCCGCGCATAGTTGTCAAGTTTAACTCCAGAATTGCTGCGACTCCTCATTTTAGTGCCAAGCAGTTTTGCGAAAAATCTTTATGCTTCAAAAACCGCCAACATCCTCCTGCAATAAAGCAATTTGGACATTAAGAATAGGAGGCGAGCTGAACGAATTTGAAACCAAGTTGTCAAAGGGCTGCATGGTGCTAGAAGCTCGCGCTGCATGACCAAACTACAAAACGTGTTTTTCCCGACAAAACTTGCGTAGATTCAGTAAACATAAACAAACCTGCTCACTTAAGGGCAAAATCCGGAAGGAAAGTAAATTACTCGTGCACACCATAGACACACTCGCGAGTTACAGTCAGTTGGGAGGATCCTCCGACTTTTCAAAATAACAGTGAGCTCAATTATATAATGTATAGCCTACAATAGCGACACACTTTTGAAAGCATGTCAGTTTATGAACAAGCCTGAAAAAGCTTGAGATCTTGGAGTAAGTGGACTTAAAACTTTCACCTCAAGTTTGTTAACTTACGGTACACATCTTATACAGAAAACGTCATATTCCTGACGTCATGCTGAACATGCGTTTAAATGCATGCACATATGAATCTTTGGGGAGGGGGGTTGGGGGGGTCAAATTTTTATTGCTATTATGTAGCCTATGGAAAGTAGACTACTACAATATAGACCTACGCAAACAATAAACCTTACAACTTGCAATTTAAAACTGAACTGGTGCAATAGCAATATCTAAGATTCAAGAAACTTTTTCCTTTGTTACTTCGTTTTCCCCTAATAATTTCGTTGGTTTCATTTATAACTTAGGTTATTTTATATATTTGGGTTAATTTGATTGTTTTCTTTGGTGGTATCATGATTGTAACAGTAAGAACACTTTGTAAATCCTCAGCCTATGTATAATTCTTTTTAAGTATTCAGTGTTGTGTAACATGTATAAACAATTTAGACCGACCGAAGCTCAGTTATTTCCTTTTGCCTAATTAAGTTACCAAAAGCACATTTCATAGTTTCATAGAGAAGTGTCTTGCTCGTGTCCACTAAGTGGCAGTATAGTCACACCCTATCATGTTTCTAGGTCAGATTTCAATCATCATTAAATTTACTTTAAGGAATTTTTTTTTTAAATTTAAATTAGCTTGAAGGAATTATTTATTTGTTTCCTCACATCTCAACTTATGTCATCTGAATTCCAAGAAAAATTATCTTTTTTTTTATGTCTGCTCTGTTCATCATCTCACCTTCCTCCCAGTTCCGGGCAGTGATTTGTGGCCATATAATTCCCCTCTTGCTTAATTGCTTTATCCCAGTTAATGTTGTTATTTATAGGCTAAATATATTTTTATTTAATATGTACCTTATTACTGAAAAGCAAGGTTTCACTTTATTTTGATGGTGTCTTTAACACATTCTGCTGACTAAGTAACTTTGCACCTACATAGCTCTCATTAAAGTGTTAGTAGCCTAGTATTAGTAGACTGATAGGGTTAGGGTTAGAATAAGTTGACGTAGTTGCAAAGTTACTTAGTCAGTAGAAATATCTGTTAGGGGAGCATCACAATAAAGAGTTAGCAAATATTAAGCAGACATGCAGTCTAATACACTAATGAGAGTTGGTTGACATGTAGTTGCAAAGTCACTTATAGTCTATAGAATATTAAAAAGGGACCATCAAAATAAAGTGTTACCAAAAGTAATAATTATATTGGGACATATAAGATAGTTGCCTGCATGTTTCATTCTGAAAAGTTAATATTTTCTTGTGGTATGGGTCATCTAGTGTTCAGCACTTAAAGCACTCTGACAGTCAGGAGGAATGACAAAGATTACTAGGTACTTATCTATGAGTTTATGAATTCCATAGTTCTTTGTCACTCAGAAGGCATGCTTAGACTGAGTGTCAATCTGCTGCACAGCTCTGCCACCATGTGACTAGCCTCTTGATATATCTGTCTGGCAGAAAACTTGTCAGTGATAGAATGCCAATTTCAAATTGTCATTTGAACATGAGCAACACTGATTTATACGTCTCTGAACACTATCTCTATTCATTGCACATGCTTGGCTAACCTTTTTGAAGTCTAGGTCTGCCATATCAGTCAAATGGCGGCTGTGTGCTGCGTGGGTCCCATGGTCTCAGTTCAGGAACCCTGACCACACCACTGAGGTTTGCATGACAAATATATAATGACTGATCGCCACCTTGGAATTATACGTTTTTGCATTACATTCGACTTTGTAGATAGAACCTTTTTGTTTTCTAAATAAAAAGTCCAAAAAATGCAAAAAAGGTCCGCACTCTAAAAATACTTTATTTGTTACAAACAGGAGATAAAGAATATACAAACGTTACGGCTCTTTGCCTTCGTCAGTGTCGAACACACGTTTGTATATTCTTTATCTCCTGTTTGTAGCAAATAATGTGCAGACCTTTTTTGCATTTTTGTACTGATATATAGCACCTAATTCGCTGGGAAAGCGCAGTGAGAGTTTTGATGAAATAAAAAGTCCCAAAAAGTTACACAACATAAAAAAACATTATCTCGGCAAAGGAGAAGTGCTCACTAACACAGATTTAGACAGATTTGTGAACAATATTTGAGAGAAATAGGCATTTTGTGTACATAGAAAAAGTCTTTTTGAGTTCAGCTCATGAAAAATGTGGGCAAAAACAAAAGTGTTGCGTTTATATTTTTGTTCAGTGTATTGTCACAGTATAAAAATATGTGAATAACTCAATTTTGACAAAAATGTCAGATAGAACCTATAATTCCAAGGTGGCGTGATGTCCAGCTATTCAGGCCAATTCACAAAACTTTACATTTTTAAATGCACAATTTTGTCGTCCCACCCCCCCCCCCCCCCCCCCCCCCCCCCCCCCCCCCCAAAAGAAGCAGCAACCACTGCTGAGAAATATGCTGCATTGCAAACTGCAGTGATCTGTTCAACTTTGAAGTCAATAAATGGAGTTTATGACATATGGAATTTTCTCGGAACACCTTTTTATTTCAGAACCCCATTTCACTCATATGAGACATGCACATATAGAGTTACAGTACAGTGAATATTACATCTTATAGAGAAATATATAGTAACATACATAAAAATGGAGCTTTAGATGAACTGTTGAATCATACAAAATAAAAAGAGAAAAACAATAAATAAGTAATCCAATATTGAAATGATGCTTGGTGAGAAGAGACACTTATAACAACATAAATAGTGAAAGGTAAATGAGTCTTAAATTAAATACTACAAACGTGAGCACATAGACAAAGGCAAAGGATGGAGGTAAATGGTTAATAATATCTAGACACGATCAATAATGGCAACCTTTGCACTTTCTCTGTCCCTTTTCTCATAGACTAACTTTGGTTCAACGGCTTTTCGGTTGAGCTAAGGCACTTCACGGTTTACGCTTGCCTTCACTTGCATTTATAGCTTTCAAGTAACATGATCTAATACTACAGACCAGTTTCCATGTTTAGACTGAGCTTAGTCCTGAGATGAGCTGTTAGTGGCAAGGGCCATACTCTACTCCAGGTATATCCAGGACACGGACTGGACTTAATCTGGTTCAGGGAATCTGGCCCAAAATGACATTCTTCATAACATTTACTGTATCACCTTCCCAGCACATCAGTCCATCAAAAATGTAATTTCGAATCTCACTAATAATGCTTCCTGTATATAGCAATACACTGTGCATGTAGGTTATGAGGTTATGAGGAAAAAGTCCACGTTATGTAGCCTACTTTATGATAAGCCCAATCTTCAGAACATTACCTATTGCCTCCTTTGTGGCTTTAGAGGAGTCAGTCCTAGCCTTAACTATATATCTAATTGATGATTAACTGCACATTCACATTCAGTTGCCCCTGTTGCTCATTGAATCAAGCTCTTGTCATGCATGATGGTGTAAAAACGTCAGATCAGAGAGGACAGACGGAGTCTTCATTTTAGGAATTAATCGGTTGGCTGTAGGAACAGTGGCCTCTCCTGTGGATGAAAATATACATAAAGAATCAATGAATATAGTTCTCACATTTCTTGTTTAAAAGTCTGAAAGTACTGCCAACAAGAAAAAGAAAAAAAAAGTTTAATGTTTAAAGTCGGCATGAAAAGGAAGTTGCAATAGTCTTTTCTTCCCTATTATGAGCTATGTGAAATGGCTTCTTGATCAGGAAACAACATAAGGCGGGACTTGATTGGAATTGTTTGGATGGTTTTGGTTTTGATCTAATGTGAGTGACAGGTTGTCCCGCCCTCGCGCCAATAAACATGTCATCAGAGAAGAGAAAATATGTCGTTGCAAGAGGAAGGGTAAGTTATTTTGGTTAAAGATTACGAGGGCACGTGGATTTTTAAAAAAAATTGCACAGATAAATAATTTTTAATAAACACTGCAATACTCCATTAAAAAAAAAAAAAATTGTCCATTTTTCACCTTTGTCAAGGTGACTTTAAGTGATGCATTTACCTGCATATTCCTGTTGAGCACTCATAGTTGTTCTGGCAGTAGGCACCGTGAGGTTTAGTACCCATGATCCTCCATAATGGGGTCATTCGAGCAGTTCTCTTCAGTGACCTTTGAACTTTCTGCACAGAAGAGGGTGTGTCCAACTGTGCCAGAGGGCTGCAGGTCACCTGAAACACATAATGCTTAAATGAGCTCTACACTAATAAAACTTAATATCCATTTCATAAAAAAGATCAAACTATACAACCCTTTCTGCAAGAGTTTGACTATTAGTTTGATCATGTCATTTTAATTTAACAGCAAATTCAAAAAAAAAAAAAAAAAAACGAATAAACACAAGTAAATTTAAGCCAAACCAGCATTGTAGCTCCTTTAAAATGGTTCCACCATTTAACAATAATATTAAAAAGGTAACAATAGCATAAGAGCACATCAAATATTATTTTTCTTTTCTTTTTTTAAAGGAATTCCACTTAAGAAAAAATTGAACACACTAACAGAAATATCATCAAACTGAGATGGTGTAAAAGTCAATAATTTAGAGAGCCATGAAAAAAAAATTGTTTTGTAAATATTAAAAATGAAATATATATATATATATATTATTACCTGCTGGACAATCACCAAAAACACCAGGCACCAGGCTAGAAGAGCCCCTCTGTGAATGTGATCCTGCATGCTGAATGAATAGATTCAGTTGCTGTAACAGAGACACTGACGACAGAGATGATGTACTGTCTTATATACCCTCCAGTCAGCATAAGAGAGACCGACTGCCTCTCCCTCATTCCTTTCACTCTCTCTCTCTCTCCCTCTCTCTCTACTTTTTCATTGCCAGATGTGGCATTTGTTTGCTTAATGTTTGTGATCTGATGTCCTCTGGGACTCTGGGAGAAAATGCAGCCAAAGTTGAGAGAAGCAAGGGATAAGGAAGAACGAGAGGAATGAAAGATAAGAAAAAAAAATAAGACGTGCTTTTGGATATGTGCTTGTCAGCATTTTAGAGTTCAATGATGTAAATCTGCAGTTTCACCACAGTTTGTTGAACTGTAATTTAGACAGCTATGCAATACTCACCGATTTAAAACCCCAATGTAAATGCAACGATTTGCAGATTCTAAGGCTTCTGAATCAACATTTCCCATCCTGCTTCTTCAACGTTTCTTTGACATAGTTCTTCTGTCTCCCTTTTATCATATACACATGCACAGGGACCTTGAAAAAGAATAATGACTGATTAGATAACTGCTGTGTTTTAATAAAGAATAAAAAAATGGACAAAAAACAAAGAGGGAAAAAAGACTGTGAACAAGTCAGAAAAGATGGCAGCGGGTCAGATATGAGTCAGGCCTCTGATCCAGCTCATCACAAAGGTTTCACACTGACTCATGGTGTTTACTGGTTCTGATGCTTGTCATCTTGGGATTGTCAGTTCATGTAAATAATATCCAGTACTATTTCATAAGCTGGTGGACTTGTTTTAAACATTTCTAGCATGCTCGCGGTGTTGGTCATAGTATTGTGATAGAGCTCAAGGTTAAGCTTATCTGCAATTTTCTTCTTGTTCAGATCAACATTGCATTAAATCTATTCAGGTTAAGTTCATTGAGGTCAAGCACAGCAATCTACACACTTTGAGGACTGGCCTTTCCTCTTTATGAGTTACATACGTTTGGGATCACTTTTTTAAAGAAATCAATACTTTTATTGAGCAAGGATACATTGAATTGATCAAAAGTTACAGTAAATACATTTCTAATGTTATAAAAGTGTTCTATATTTTATTCAATTCATCAAAGAATCCTGCTAAAATAAGTATCATGGTTTTCAGAAAAATATGAAGTAGTGCGATGTTTCTTGAGCAGCAAATCAGTATGATTTCTGAAGACTATGTGTGACGATGTGACGCTGAAGACTAATGATCCTGAAAACTTTGCCATCACAGGAATAAATTAAATTTTTAAATATATTAAAATAGAAAGCAGTTATTTTAAATTGTCTAATATTTTACAATATTATTGTTTTTCCTGTATTTTTGATCAAATAAATGCTGCATTGGTGAGCATAAGACACTTCTTTCAAAAACATTAAAAAGTCTTACCGACCCAAACTTTGAACAGTAGTGTATATTTAATGAAAAGATGAGAAAATTACTCTTTTCTATTTACACAATCAGAGATGCTATGGCATTACTTGAATAGTCAAACTAAGGACACAAAGTGTGTGATTTAGGCCACTGAAACATAAACGTTGCAGTATTTGAAATGTAAACCTATAGCTTGATGAAAAATTGCCTTTAGCTATTTAGCAGGGTTGTGTAATTAGCCTTAAATGAGGTGAACAGAAACACAAACCATGTGCTTCCAAAGTTCAGTGGGCTTTTCTGTGCAATTCTACCAGGAAATCTGTATCCAACACCATCTGCGCAGGCGTGACTCCTCTGAGGGTCACTGTTTCTTATAAACACTGAAAAAAGGGGTTCATTTTATTTTGATGGTCCCTTTAACACATTCTGTTCTTCTATGATCTATGTTTGCACCTACATGTCTACTAACTCTCATTAAAGTGATAGTAGAGTATTAGTAGACTGGGTTAGGGTTAAAATAAGTTGACATGTAGTTGCAGTAGAATGTCTGTTAGGGGAGCATCACAATAAAGAACAGATATTAAGCAGACAGTCTACTAATACTCTAATGAGAGTTAGTTGACATGTAGTTGCAAAGTTACTTATAGTCAACAGAATGTTCAAAAGGGACCATCAAAATAAAGTGTTACCAAAAAATACTTTTGCATAGATTTAGAAGTTTGAAATGCAACTTTGCATAGATTTGATAAACAAACCTTGAGGGTGTTTTTTTGGAGATAATTCGTACTCCATGCACAACAGACCATGCACAATAATAGACCATTCTATCATTTGAAAAAGATAAGAAATTAAATTCCTTCCACCAGAAGAAGCCTTAAGAAGTCTTTTAGGAGTTAAACTTCAGGGGAAGAACTCTATGTATCCTTTCCCTTAACATTAATCTCTCTTTATGAATCAAATGATGACAATTCATCAGGGTGTTCCCTCAGTGCTTTAGGGTCAAGCACCCTGTCCCCATTTGGTTTGTTTGTCAGTTTTGGCACTTAGTCAAAAGATTTTATTATTATTATGCATTTTATTTTTAGGCGCCTTTCTTGACACTCAAGGTCACCATACATCATCAACAAAACAATAACAATATTTAAGTAAAAAACTATGTGATACAATTAAAATACAATGCAGTTGTGATCAGAGGGAGTAAGCTATTCTAAAAAGATGGGTTTTGAGTTTTGATTTAAAATGTGAGAGGGAATCAATATTACGGAGGTCCGTGAGGGAGGGAGGGGGCTTCGGAGGTGGACGAGCAGGTGGCGAAGGAGTGGTGACAGGAGACGGTGACAGAGGATTGATGAGAGGACGACGATCCCCTGGCAGCAATGGCAATAGTCCACAGACACAGAGTCTCCAGTGCCGACAGCCCACGGCGGGGTCGAGGGAGGGAGGAGCCAAGGTGGTGTAGCGGCTGACGACAACTGGGGGACGACCGACGGGGACGAGGCCGATGGATCCACAGGCGCAGATGGAGAGCCGATGAAGGTGGAGCCAGAGTACCTAAGGGCTGAGGTGGGGCCGGTGTGATGGAGGACAGATGTGACGTCGAGAGGAATGAGGAGCCCACTATAGCCGTAGGGGTGGAGAGACGGGGTGTAGCGGAAAGCCCACAAGTCCGTTGTGGAAGTTGTGTGACGACTGACCAAGGGGGAGCCAGCAGGACGAGGTAACCCGGTGGAGCTGAAGGTGGGAGGAGCCAACAGGTCGACAGGCCAAGATGGAGCGAAGAGATCCAAGGCTGGAGTCGAAGCCGCAGAATCCTCTCGCACTGACGCTGCTTGTAACACGACCTGCGGCACGACGTTTTAGCAGGGCTTCCACGGAGATGGAGCAGGGCTGTTGACATAGAATAGTTCATATAGTTTATACAGTCAATGGTACGGTTCCAAAACAGCAATGATGAAGGTACCGGGTTGGATTGGGTGGGAGTCGATAATTCCTCATTGAAGTCGATCAGCCAGTCCTCATCGTCCGTAGTCACGACTCCCTCGTCCGCCGATGGTCATACTCACGATGGAGATCCACTTCCGGGGCGAGGGTCAGCTCGAGGAGAAGATCTTTGGCCTGCTTATATAGACGGGTAGCCCTGCCCATTCTGGCGGGCTGAAGCGCCAGAGGTTTGTGCAGTTGCAAACGATTCAATCAGGCTTCAGCATGTTTGGAGTTTCCCGGTCTCAGCTAAAGACTGAACCAATGCGAGTGAACCATATCAATAAGGGAAGCTACCACTGTGCTTCTTCCTTTATTTCATTGCAGACCTTTAGACGGAGCTGCTAATTTTTCCTCTGATATCTTGATTGTTTTCTGTGGTTGTGATTAGTTCTACCATTGGGCCTTAGTTCAATAAGGACATTTAAGTAGCTTTTATAAGTGTGCCGAAAAAAAAAACATTATGTGAATATTGATAATGTGCAAGACAATAGCACTGGCATATCTTAAATATAGCAAGTTACTTTCAGTTCAGACAGCTCAAACATGCATTTTAGTTTGTGACTATTAAGCCTTGTCTGTGAAACCTGCCAAATGTTTGCTAGTGTACATGATTTAGTTTATAATTATAGTTTTATTATGTACTGTTGGGCTTGCTATGTTTGTTCTATGAATTACCACCTTGTTCCACTTGTCAATAGTGCATCTAAACAATTAAAAGTTAAAAGTCTAAATAGTTTTGTCTGAGCTGTAAATAACTCAAGAACCACAGGGATTAACTTGCCCATCAAACTGCAGAATAAAGAGCACTACATATAAAGTATATTTCCCCAATATGTTGTCAAATAAAAATGTTGTCAAATAAAAATGTTATATATGTATATATATGTATTTGATGTATGATTCAGTTGGAATACCTGTTGTATGTTAATTGTTGAAAGATGCCATTATATCACTGTAAAAGCCATTAGTCTTTAGGTTGATTATGAGTACTGGAAATGGAAGTGTAATCAACCAAGTGTGGATGCTACAACAACAATAATGGGTCAGATATTGATTAAAAAAATGTTTTATATAAAAAGACTACAGAAAGATTTTATTTTTTTCTCCATTTGGTAGAATTGTCATTAATATGCTATTGTTCAAAAGTTTGGGTCAGTAAAACTGTTTTGAAAGAAATTAATACTTTTATTTGTGAGAAAATTCGATTTCTATTAATATACATTTTCTATTAAATTTACATTTCAAATAAATGCAGTTCTCTTGAACTTTCCATTAATCATAAAATATTGAGGGGAAAAGGTGTTGTTTCTACAAAAATAATATTAAGCAGCACAACACATGATAATAATACAATTGTTTCTTGAGCAACAAATCAGCAAATTAGATTTTAAGATTTAAAATATATTAAAATAGAAAAAAATAATTTCAAATTGCAGCCTAGTTGAGCATAAGAGACTTGTCAGTGCCATTTTTGTTTCAAGTAGACACCACTAATGTTTTTTTATGTTCAATGTTCAAAACATTCAAGTATTCTTCCATATCTTGTCCTGATATTGCATAGATGCTGAACACTTGCATAAGGTTCTAAATGAACTTTCACCCAAACTTTACACCAGACAAGCTCTATAACATCAAAGAAGCCAGTTCAAACCAGCATTCCTGCCATCTCCATTTACTAGAGCTGAGAAACACAGCTGGGAGAGAGCGACTCCTACTGACCAAATCTAAACATATGAGAAATACCAAACAAAAGAGAATCAAATGACCACACAACAAGCATATTTATACGTTTGCTTTCTTCCTTTTTTTTTTTTTTTTCTTTTTTTTTTTTACAAAATAACTTCTTTATTTTAACATCTTTCAATATAACATTAAAACATTCATTTAGGTGCATGGACATTTCTCCTCTAAGAAATACATCTATGAAAGTCTCATTTATACACTTACTGCATGTCCTCACTGAGGTTGTGCAAAATTAGCCTCTGCTTATTTTCTCCACTTGCTTTCGAAGGCTTTCTTTATCAAAGATGGGCAAAATCTGTGCTTTCAGAAAGAGGACACAAATGCAGCAGACAAGAGAAACAGCAACAACTCTATGGCCTAAGTCAACCGACAGGGCTCTTTCGTGCTTCTTTTTTTCTCCTCCATTTTCCTTTTTTCAATAAAGTGCCAAAATTCTCCTATTTCATTCCCCCTCCATAAATACATTACAAAAGATGTCACATTAATACATACCAGACAGAAATAAAGAACATAGACAAGAGTAAGCAGAAAAGAAATATTACATGATAGTCACTCATTCACCAATCCAGTTATTCATACCTAGATCCCTAAAAAGTCTGTACTGTGAGAGGTGAGACTGAATTGATCACTCTCCACAATTCAAGTCTAACACAAACCTCGCTGTGTGAATGTTCTTAGTAATGCGCAAGCAATGGCAACAGGCAAATCAAACCCAATATAACCATTCCTTTCGGCTGAGTTCTTCAATTGTGCTGGTTCAAATTCACATTGTCCTTTAGCACCATTCAATTATTCTCCTGATCTGACCCCAAGCCCAAAGTCATCTGCAGGTGCAGGAGTCTGCAATCATATCTTCATATTCTTTATAAACTATGTTTCCATCCCTCTCCATCATCAGCACGCTGATAGGTTTGTATTTATAAGGAACGCAAGAGGGCATCGGGATATCTGACACACCAAGCTCGCTGATCAAAGTCTGCATGATTGCGTGGTTGGGCGAATTGTAGCCGTAATGCAGGATACGAGGGCAGTCGCCCATACAGTAACGAGGGTTGTACTTGTGGGGTGCAATGATCCAATGGTCCCATCCTAAATCTTTAAAGGTCACGTGGTAGGAGTGCAGCTTGCACTGGTTTTTGGCCACGCTGTTCGACCCGTCCTTGTAGTTGGGGATGTCAGAGACGATGCTCCTAGACTCCTGAGATCGGCGGGTCCTGGGGCGGGAAAGGGGCGTGAAGTACTTCCCCCATTCCACAGGTTGCTTGTTCTCCTCTAAGAAGAGCAGCAAAACAGGAGCTCGAAGATGGTGTTGAGGTGGGAAGCATTTTCGATGTGTAATGGACCTGGCATGCTTTGGTTTAATGCATCGATAATGGGCTAAGAGGGATACCTGGCCATCTTTTGACTCAGACACATGGTTTGTAACATCCGATTCGGTCCACAGGCTTCGAGGACCCATAGTGACATGGTCACCTTCAGGAAGATCTTGTAGAGACGTGACCCTTGCCTCACAAATAAAAGGATGACGGGATGACACAGGAGACCTCAGGTGCATAAAAGACGCCTTCACCAGTTTGTTCAACAAGAGGTTTTTCAGTTCATATTTCACTGTGTAGTTATACTGAAGGTCTAGTCCAGTAGGATTTACAGATAGGAGAGAGAAAATGAAAATAAATAATCAGACAGTGGGCCTAGATTTCAAAAATACACATCTAATAGTTATTATAATACTTTAAGGGCTAATGTGCACAGCACACTCTTAAAAATAAAGGTTCCAGCAGAGTTTTTTGTTTCCCTACAGCAATGCCATATAAGAACCATTCAGTAAAATGGTTAATCTTTTTTTTCTTACACTCTTAAAATTAAAGTTTCCAAAAGGAGGTTTTCAAAGCAATGCCATAAAAGAACCATTTTTGGTTAATCAAAGAACCTTTCAGCGAACAGTTCCGAGAACAATTTTTTTCTTACTAAGAACACTTTCAAAACCTAAAGAACCCTTTTCCACAATAAAGAACCTTTTGTGGAATGGAAAGGTTCCATAAATGTTTATGGATGATTTTCATGGAACATTAGATGCCAATGAAAAACTTTTTAAAGTGATAGTTCACCAAAAAATGAAACTTTTGCCATCATTTACTCACTATTCTCTACAATGGAAATCAATGGATGTCATCAACTGTCTGGTTAACAACATTCTTTAAAATATCTTCTTTTGTGTTTAACAGAAGAGAGAAACTCATACAGGTTTGGAACAACTTGAGAGTGGGTAAGTAATGACAACATTTTCATTTTTGGATGAACTATCCCTTTAAGAGTGTAGAGTGAATGTTTTAATAATCTTTTTTTTTTTTTAAATCATTTTCACTATAAAGAACCTTGCAATGGAAGGTTCCATTGATGGTAAATGTTCTTCATTGAACAATAGATGCCAATTTTATTTTTAAGGGGCAAATAGGGACAAAAAATGCCTAGATGTACTTGTAATGGACATGTATGAGATAAGATAGAGTGCTTTACCATTTGAGGTTGGGAGAAAGTGCTTTTCAGTGGTGGACGCTTTGAGCAGCCTTACAGTGTTGGATCCAAATAACCTGAGCTGCTTTGGTCGTCCATCTGCATCCGCCGCTATCCTGTATAGACTTAACATCAGACGCATACCTTCATCTTCAGTTTGGCTTTCAAGGAGAGGTTTAAAATAAGAGTTCCTCTGTTTTGGGTATCGATTTCGACGAACTTCTCTGCTGGTGACGCCAAAATGTGACGGAGAAGACATGTTTCCGGCCACGCGCGTAGATATGTGCAGCACAAACAAACACGACAGTACGCAGAGTCTCAGACAGTTGTGACTGCTGGTAGCCTTCATGTTCAGCCCCTCGTACGGACGAGTGCCACCTGGAAGGCTACCATCGTCTAAGACAATCAGCGGGCGGAATTCAACCTAAACATCACCTGACGATGACAACCGTTTTGGTGCACCTCTAATCGTGTGACGTCATGCTCAATCACCTATCAAACTTTTCAAATTGAGTGTCATTTACACAAAAGGTGCTTACTAAATTTCAATCCTATTGTTGAAAAAACAACAAGTAAATTACATCATTGGCTTATGCGAGATCTATTTGACTTTATATCGAAAAACAAAATACATTACATAAAGAAAACAATTATTATGAATTCATATGAAAATGGTGGCCTACATTTTTTGGATTTTGAAACGTTAAATAATACATTTAAAATATATTGGCTTAGTCAGGTTGTTAGAAATCCTTACTCCATTTGGAACTTTATCCCTTCCCATATGCTTTCTAACGTTGGTAATAGCCTATACATTTTCTAACAACCTCTTTCTAATAACATTGACAAAATACCAGTCAAATTATCAGAATTTCATCGCCAGGCCTTTTTATCATTGTCCTTGATTTTCATGCACAACTTTTCACCACATAAGTAGGCTATTATATATGGAATAATAAGGATATATTATATAAACATAAATCATTGTTTTTGAAATATTGGTTTGATAATGGCATCATTGGTGGATCAGTCATTTAATTTAAATGGTTTTCTTTTCACTTACAGTGAGTTTTTGGCACATTATAAGATTCCTGTAACACCAGGGGACTATGCAAAATGGACTATGTGTTTGATGCAATATCTCCTGAAATCTGTATAGACATCAGAAAAGACTTAATATTCAACAATGGTCCCCACCTACTATAGTAAGTTCTTATGTAGGTAATATTTGTTTTTCCCCTAACTCACAAAACAGATCCATAAGAGCGTTATTTCAAAAAAACAATTTGTCTTTGCCTTATATTTACTCATACTGGAATCAATTGACAGACAATATTGTGTGGAAAAGGGTTTGGCTTATACCTAATCAATATTTAATTACAAACAAAGTTAAAGAGGTATTATTCAAAATTATACATAAAATGTACCCAGTTAAACATTATGCTACTTTGTGAAATTTAAAACCAATATTGATTTTAATTGCACTTTTTGTGACAGTTGACCTGAAACTGTGGTTCATTTATTTTGGCACTGCCCATTTGTAAGACCATTTTGGCAAAATGTTTGTGATTTTATCACAAAGAACATTAATGGCCAATTTGTGTTGTTTTGGAAACATCTATTATTTGGTCTTTTGGAGAATTATAAAGACAAGCACAGTCAGGTTTATATAATACATTTTATTTTTAATGGCAAAATTCCATATTCAAAAATGTAAATTGTCCTGTAAAAGACCCTGTTTTATATCATTTAAGAAAGAAATGGAGCTTTATATTGACTCAATTCGATTTTATATGAAGCAAAAAGCAGTTAAAACTTTGAAAATTTCAATATGTCAATGTCTTAATGTAGATCTACATTATAATTATAATTTGTTGAGTTACGTAAAAAAAGTTACGTGTCATTTATATCCTGTGTGGAAATACAGTTCAGAAATGATAAGAGCTTTTTAAAACAGACATTTTACTCAAGTAAAAATATGCATAAACACACTGACTGTCACGGTGTTGTGCGGGTTGAAGAAGGACTTTTTACTTTTTCTACAAACAGTTTACTTATAGAACACTCACAGGTACGTGCAGGCAGGAACACGCACACAAAACAAATCTAAATACGACTAACAACCGACAAAGACTGAATGAACTGAGGGAACTAAATACAAGCACAAATCAAACATAACAAGGTGAAGACAGGTGAAACGGATGATATCGATGAACAGGCTGATAAGTGAGGGAGTGAGTTCAGGTGTGGAAACAAGGAGGATTCTGGGGAGTGTAGTGCAGACTAAGACAGACTGGTGCAGACGAAGACTGTGACATAACTCCCCTCTCCCGGTAGGCGTGACCTCACGCCTTGGAACAACATGGGTGGGTGGGGGGGGTGGGCGCCCTGAAGGCTGAACAAGGCCTGGCATCACAGGAGTGGGAAGCCTCCAGGGCGGAGCAGGACGTGCAGGCGGCCAGGGCGGAGCAGGGCGGAGCAGGACGTGCAGGCGGCCAGGGCCCTTCGGGTGGCCGTGGCGGTGAAGACCCCTCGGGCGGCCGTGGCGGAAACGGCCCTTCGGGCAGCCAAGAAGAACTATAGCCCCCCCCAAGAAAGGTTGGGGGGGAGGGGTGACAGTCTCAGGGACAGTCTCTGGCTGAGCAGACGGGACGTGAAGCGCAGGCTCGGCGTGGCAGACGGGACGTGAAGCGCAGGCTCGGCGTGGCTGACGGGACGTGAAGCGCAGGCTCGGCGTGGCAGACGGGACGTGAAGCGCAGGCTCGGCGTGGCTGACGGGACGTGAGGCGCAGGCTCGGCTGGGCTGGACGGAACCAGCGGCGCAGTCTCGGCTGGGCTGGACGGGACCAGCGGTGAGGGCTCGGCTGGGCTGGACGGGGCCAGCGGTGAGGGCTCGGCTGGACTGGACGGAACCAGCGGTGAAGAAGTCTCGGTGGGACGAGACCCCGGCTGGACGGGCTTCTTGGCGGTTCGTGCGGCCTTTAACGGTGGATCTGCCGGGCTGGACATCAGCCCTTGACGCCCATAGACAGACCTGATGACAGGCTCGTCACCCATCACCGTGAGCGGCGAATCACAGGACACCAGTATCCATTCCACGTATCGGGAGAAGCTCCATTGGGGGCCCTCTCCGGACAGCTGCTCTCTAGTGGCGGTGTTGAGGCCAACATGCAGGAAGCTGCAGAGGCAGTTGTCCGGGAAAGTTGTAGCTGGCACGAGGCTGAGAGATTCTTCTAAATGTTCCTCGAGGGATCGGTCCTTCTGCTCTAAACAAAGCAGTTTGACTGCTGCAAAGTGGTCCATCTTTTGGTCGGTTGTTCTGTCACGGTGTTGTGCGGGTTGAAGAAGGACTCAGAGTCAAAAGGCTCCAATACAAACAGTTTACTTATTGAACACTCACAGGTACGTGCAGGCAGCATGACGGGCAGGAACACGCACACAAAACACATCTAAATACGACTAACAACCGACAAAGACTGAATGAACTGAGGGAACTAAATACAAGCACAAATCAAACATAACAAGGTGAAGACAGGTGACACGGATGATAACGATGAACAGGCTGATAAGTGAGGGAGTGAGTTCAGGTGTGGAAACAAGGAGGATTCTGGGGAGTGTAGTGCAGACTAAGACAGACTGGTGCAGACGAAGACTGTGACACCGACTTCCACAAATGACAATAATACAGTGTGACTCAGCAGCTGTCTTGAGAAGATTTAGCCTAATCACATCTCAACATATTAAATACATTTCTATGCTCCTCTTAATTTTGTCATTTAATATGAGTATAGGCCTAACTGTTTGTGAGACTTGGGCTAGTAAGTAAAAACTGTTTTTTTTAGGTTAACTGATCTCATTTTGTGTCTCTGGAAAAGATTGATCTGTTGAATATCGTTTTTTGTGTCAATTTGTTAATGAGGGATTTACATTCGTGTTTTTAGATTTGCGGAGTAAAAAAGATATAAAGCCTATCTGAATATGTTACAATTTTAAAGTAAATGCACATTGTTCTTACTCCTTTACCCTTACCTGTTCTTACCCTTACATCTTTCCCCATCTTAGCCTATTAATTTCTAATGATTTAAGCTATGCCTAGCTAACCACATTCGTTAGTTTCTGAAAATAAATAAAATACATAAGTTATGCAGCCTATCCAGAGGCGTCGCAATAGGGCAGGCAAGCCAGGCAATTGCCTGGCGCCCCGCATTTTAAGGGGGCCAGGCCCCCGAAGGCTGATCATTTAAACAATCAGAAATGGTAATATAAAGACGCAGCAACATCTCTGCATCCCCCTTAGTGGGTCCCCCTCTCTCGATACGCTGGTTATGCTTTTACCACCTAGCCTCAGCCGCCTTTTTTAAACTGGCGCATCGCTTACTCGCGGTAGGTAGAAAATGCATGATTTGATTTGTTAAACATGAAAAGGACTTATCCATCTGGTATGGCCGCTCGTTCTAACGTTAACCTAGATAAATGTTCTCTATTATTAGACGCATATCCAAGTGTTTGTGTGGAGTGTGGAGAGCTCTTACTGCATGACATGAAGGCGCCGGCGCGGTCACTTGCATTTTCCTATAACAGTGGAAACAACTTAAAATACTCCATCATTTCTGGTCATACAGAAAAGAATAATACATCAGTCGCATCTACTTTTATCTGTGTAAACTCACAATAACAATAACACATTTTGTAAAAGAAAACAAACAGGGCACGCTTTCATGTCTCCGTGGCGTGAACTGGAGCGCGTCTCAAAAATGAAACAGTGTAAACTAGCCTCACAGACATAAGAAATATATCTATATAAAGCTTGAAATGTCCACTTTTAAATGAATTTTTTTTAAAAATATGAATTAGCTAATATGAAACCATTTTGCATTACCTTCTGTACTGGTCGAACGTTTGCTTCCATCGATGGCTTCCACACATAATCAATATTCTTCCATTCAAGTAATTCTGTTGTTGTCACAAGACTGTGATCTTCTGCCAGGAGCATCATGCATGTCAATCTGCTGCTGTCCAGAATCAGGTGGTTTGTCTTCGTCTGGCATCTCAGCTGAGACCTGTCCACTATGGGTGACCCTACCAGTAGTTGTGAAGTACCAGTGGCGTAGCTCTCAGCATCACTGATGCACACAAGCCCTCACAGCACGTCAAGCTCCAAACCTTGTGAGGGACCCTAACCTACCCTAATCTAACTGCTTAAAAGCAACCGCATATCAACCAACTGCTCAAAGCGTTCTGACAACCATAAGCATGAAAACCAGAAAGAAGAGTTCAGCAACCACATAAAACAGGTTAACAACCGCGCAGAAACCTTAGCAAACGCATGTCAACACACAAGAAACCACCCGAAACATCCTGACAACCAAGAAGCAAAGTGCGAAAACACTCAGAACAACCTAACGCATATCAATCCACAGACAACCACAGAAAACATCCTAACAACCACACAACAATGTGC